ATAAACACATAGCACATGGCACATAGTCAATGCAAGTTAACCTCTCACCCCGTCTAGGTAAGCCACTACCCGTCATCCTAAAGGTTTTTGAACCATCGCTCTGATACCAAATTTGTAACGACTCGAACCCAGGGGTCCGAATTGCTAACTGGGTCCTTACTCGAACCCGAAGTCGTCTAAGGGCATTATGGTAAATTTCAATGTCAATACATAATATACGTGTCATCCTAAGGCTTATAGTACATCATATCTCTAACATCACAGAAGACTCACAAATACAGGTGGATAAGGCTGCGTCGACCGCCACTTCCTCCCCTTAACCTGAAAATAATAATATAAGGAGTAAGCACAACGGCTCAATAGAAGGTACCTAAGACACACCTCTTAATGACCCCGTGAATCCAAACAAAGCATAGAGCATAAGAAAACATGATTATACTATTTTGGGAGAAAATATAACGACAACAAGATCAACTAAACCATAAATGAGTCGTGTCATGCCAATGGAATGCAATGATATGCCAATGTTGCTCCCCATTTCTAAAACTTTTCCGTTTTTTCATTCCAAATATTTAATGCAACTCAGCCCATGGCAACTCTATGGCGCTACGAGAGAAGGGCTGGCTAGCTATCCCTGACCACATGGCAACTCCAAGGCGTCATTTGGGGACCTAGGTAGCCCAACCACGCTAGGGTCTCTCTCTAGTTCCTTCTAAGTCACATTAACGACACGGATCACTAGGCAACTCCTAGGCGACCGGGTTTTCGTAAACCACATTTCAAAACCTTTTTCCCAAATCAATTTTCATTTCTTTTTAAAACAACTTTTACCATTTCTTTCCTAATGCTCATGCATGAATGCCTCATGCCTTTTCATGCCATAACAACATTAAAATTTCATACATTACATTCACATCATGCTTGCATAGTTGAGAAAACATTAAATTTCACAAAATCAACCCCATATTCATAGCATGAAAACATGGTAAGCATATAAAAAATTTTAAATCAAGCATGCTCTTTCATAACAATACAAGTATGCATGAATATCATCTCAATTATTACATAAAATACAACTACCACATTAGATACCTATAAACCCTTATAACCACAAACAAGTTTATACAATTTAAGCTTGCTAAAGCCAAATTATAAGAGGATAACTCACCGAAATTAAAGAATATTTATATTAGAGACCCCTACCTCAAGAAATTGAAGAAAAGCCCCAATTTGTCCCGAAACACGAAATCCAAAAGTGCTCCAAATTGAACTTTGCACCGATCAAATCGAAACTCTCGACGCGCTCGTTAACTTTGCCTTCAGTGGCAAAGTCAAAATTCCAACAGAATAGTATAGATCAAAGCTTTTGTGTGGCAAAAGAAAAAAAAATAGAAATAGAAAGAAAGAGAGAGCTGCACAGGAAATGGTAAAAAAAAGGTCTGTTTGATGACCATTTGGTCATCTATAATGGTTAATACTAATGGCGGGTCCCACGGGGCCAAAATATCATTTTTGTTATATATATATATATATATATATATATAACTAAACACATTACAACCATACATTTCTAACCACATAACCACATAAATATACATCAAATAATAATGTATGAAATGTAATGATCCCGAAAAATAATCGCCAAGCAGAACAATACCAGTTGCAGGTCCCATCCAGGACCTCCGAGCCTAAAAAACTAAAAAATGTCAAAATAACCAACAATGCATTTCTAAGAGTCCTGAACTCGAAGAAATGTCCCTAACCAACTCCCGGAAACTCACCCGGTACACCCCACGGTGTTCAGTATGCAAAACGAGACGAAAAAGAAATAATCCTGAAAAATGAAAATAAAAAATCCCCAAAAAATGGAAAGTAGGAAAAATGAGAAATATTACAAATAGCTAGCCATTGTTCCAAATGATGGACAAGCGGTAGGCTTGTGCCATTTGGAGTTAGAGGCCTTTAGTGTGGATTTGTATAGTGAGAATGATTGATTAGGAAAGTTCATTTGTGTGTAAGATGAGATCATGGGAATGGTTCGAGAGGAGTCATGGCATAAGCATTGATTGCGTTGATAGTTTTGTGATGGACTTGTGTGTGTTTGTGTGAATGTGGTTAAGTTGATACATATATATTGTTGCTAATGTAATGTATTGTTGATTTCATTATTTTTTCCGTAATAGCATGATCATCTTATCTTGATCTCCTTTTCTATATGTGTTTACTCATAGGGCTTTAAAAGCCTTGCCTTAGGCATACTCTACTGAGCGGTGGTGCTCACCCATTTACTTTAAACATTTTCAGGACTTAGAAGAGAAGTTGGGAATGGTGCGCCCTTGCAAGATTAGGCGTAGTTTGGGAGTTATTGTGATATCTTTTGTAGCCATGGCTATTTTTTTATTTATTTTATTTTATTTTATTTTTTTTTGTAAAGCTTGGCATGAACCTGTATTATTTTGAAATCATTTCAAAGGGAAATGTAAAAGTACTGTTTTGATGATGTAACCTATCAACTTGTGAGTATTTTGAACACTAATAAGCGTGGATGTTTCAAATGGTTTTCAAGAAGTCATGTGATTGTATCATTATCAAAATTTCATTCAAAATAATTTTCGAAAAAAAAAAAAAAAATCATTCAAAATGGGTACTTTTATCTAATTGTTCACGGTTCCATGTATATGTGGATTTAGTCATTTTATACAAGCTTTTGGACTAGTTTAAGGCCATTTACATGATTAGAGTTGAGTCTAATGGGTTGCCAAGTGCTTGAGGAGCAAAAAGGGGGCAAGTGTATAAACCTGAGCACAATCAGTCAAGATGTAGGCCTTTAAAAGTCGACCGGTATCTCATTATTTTGGGTAGTGTAGATTTTTACTATGCAGAGGCAAACAGGTCGATGTAAAAGGGCTTCATGTCGACCGAAAGCCTCAAACTGGTCGACGCGTAGGCTATACACGTCGACCGATACCAAAAAAGCTGGGACAGTTTGTTTAAAAATTAGATTTTGTTCCTTCTTTGACCCTTTCATGACTCCATTAAGTCTTGTGGACCACGTCATATTATTTTAATGATGCCTTAACAAAGGAAATGATCGTATTGCCCTTGAGAGTTCACTGGTTCGGGTAAGGACCCGGTTAATAATGTGGACCTCCGGGTTCGGGTTGTTACACTTCCACTTTTCCTTCTTGCTCTTCTTCAAATTCTCACCCTAACCCTCTCAAATCCAAGTAGAGAGAGAAAAGGAGAAAAGGTAAAGAGAGAAAGGGGATGGCTAAACATGTGGGGTGGGGGGGTATGGTGGTGTCTTGCAAATGCTCCCGTGGCCAATAATATGCCAAGTGTCAAGCCCTCAATTGTCCCTAAAATATCTTCTCTAATATATAGATACATGCATATGCATGTATCGGTGAAATGACCACAATGTCTCTCAATGAAAATGGCAAAATCGAGAAAAATTCTCGAGCCCAGAAATCATCCTGACTTCTAAAAAATTTTAAAAATAAACCCGTCACTCCTAAATAACTTCAAATAATTAAAAATGCACTTCAAAAGCTATCGATTCAAGAAAATGATTTAAATGGCCCCCAGGGCCGCGTGCCACACAAAACAAGGCACGAAAATAATAATTTTAAAAAAAAAATCTGAAAAATCTGAAAAAATCCGGGACTTTACATGTTTGGACTTAGATAAAGTGAAACCAGAATTATAATTCTGGTGTGACCAAACGTGAGACCTTCCCGGGTTGCCTATGTAACTTAATTATGAATAACATGGTGAGAATTAAGTTGACCATAGTTTAGTTTAAGGTGAACTTAGGAAGACTTGTCTAGAGTGTGAACACAAGAGTTCAAGTGCTTTGTGATTGCAATTGTTTTAAAAGAAAACAAACGTGATTTGACTTGAAATAGTGATGTTTCTGAAAAGAAAGAACTAAAGAGTTCTTTGGAAGTTTGTCTTGAGGAAGAAGCTTTTAGAAAGAAAAAAGAAATTGTGTTTTGAAAATTTTATGATTTGAAAGTGTTCTTGTACGGGAAATAAATCACGGGAATTGCGCTATCATAAATATATTCATGTTCCGTGATAAAAGATCGACTATTTATTTGCAACGAAATAAACTAAATCAGCGATAAGTTGAACCGATTATGAAAGTAGTCTTTGCTATTGCCCCTTATCAATGTCATGATAAATAACTCTCAAGCGTGAGAGATGGATGATCTCGTCTTAATTGATAATTTTTTGATTTACTTGTGGTTTTAGGGTAAAAGAATCCGGATGCTTTGGGCAGTTATTGATTAATGACATTGGAATTTACTTTCAAGAATTGCATTTATGCTATAATATTTATTTTGACTTGATTAGAATGATCATGAAAAATTCGGAGGCCTGTGTGTTCTGATAAAATTGTTTTTAGTATATATTTATCTATTGAATATATTATTTTGTCAAAATAAATGTTTTACGTGATAAAATATGGAAAAAAAAATCAAGGTGACAAAATAAAATTTTAATTAAATGGTCAGATTGATGAATTATATTATTCGACAACTAAATTATACATTAGAGGGTCATTTCATAAATTGACTTGGTGGTTTAATCTTTTTCTATTTGGAATTCAATCATTCTAATATAGTGGAATTAAGTTTGGATAATGGGCAAATTGACTTGGGGCATGCGATATGTCAGGGTCAATTATTAGCCCATTACAGTTCTGAAGAAAATGGGCCAAATGAATCCTCGTTCTAAAGGGCATATAAGGAAACCGATGAACAAGTATGAGGGAGCTTGAAGATCAAAGCTCTAAGGATCCCATTTGTTCAAATTTTTTAAAACCTATTTCCTATCACTTCATGATTACCATCAAACGTTTCAGTCTAAGGTCTCTTTATCATTTGAAAAATTAGTTTCCTATCTGAAGAAGGTGGTTAGTATATAAATACACAACACACTTTACAAATACAAACACAAACACAAAACACAAACACAAACCAAGATTTTACCAGAAAGAGAGACAAGCTATCAAACAAGGATTCAAGAGGTGTACAACTTAGCCAATGTACATGATGAATTTAATAGGCATTATAAAGCAAAATTGCCACTTTAACACCTTACAGAACCAGAACGACAGAAAATTGTTGGTGTGCTATTGTTTCGACCGTTGTTGAAGTTTTCAGGATGTGATGTTGAAGTATACTGTATAAGATTCATCCATGAAGTTATTAAATGGAGTAAGAAGAAAATTCCTTCTGGCCCCTTTCGCCACAAAACTGATAGGATGATACGAACTAACTCCGTTATTCAATGCAAAGCTGACTGCCTCCTTGAATCCAGCATCTGGTGGTGCCCCAGCAGATTGGCAGCGGAGCTTGATGGTTCTAACGGCGCTATATTTTGCCCCATTAACCCCACAATGCACAAAGCAACCCTTCTGGCTACCGGACTCTAGTGAAACTGTTCTGGGCTTCCCATTCAATCCCGGAACCAATTGGAAAATAGCATTTTGAGAGCCGAGAACTCCAACTATAAGGTTTCCATCAACTCCTTGGTGCACCACAACACTACCTGGGAATTCAAATGGTTCTAGCATCACCATTTTCCCGATAGCATCTTTTGGTGCAACCTGTTTCGGGGAAGCAGCTGAGTCCTTTAAGATGAGTCTAAAAGTGGCCCTTACAGACCAATCAGTGCGGGGCAAAGGAAACATTGTCATTTTTATATTTCGGTTTATGTGTGATAGTGCATATGTTGAATTCCCAGAACCTTGGGAGAGGGTAATCAAATTAGAATGGTGTGCCTGTGGAATCGGAGTGATCCACTCCGAGAGGGACTTAGCTTTTCCTGATTTGAGTTTCCAGTCTTTGCTTGTCATAGCAGCTAGAAGGGTGGGGCCATAAAAAATTGCCTGAATGGGGGCATATTGAGGCCGAGAATCTGAAGCATCAGTTAAAATTTTCTGTTAGCTTCATACTATCACAAATTAGCTTGCATTGCGTTCAATATACATTGATCATCATAATGTATCAAATTTGTTATGGGAGCGTCCCAAGAACATACCTTTAATGGCCTCGGTTCTAAGACTGAGGGGTAATTCAAGAACAATTTTGTCACCAGAGTTCCATTGTCTAGTGACAGTGAGAAATTTACCTGCAGAATCATGGGGAGAATTACAAACTTACCCGAGATTCTCAATTAAAAATCAAAATATTTAAAAGAAAATACAGTAAGGCAATAGAAGAGAGGAAAATGGAAGTTCGAACCTGGAGTTGGTTGAGCCAAACCCTGGCCATTTAAAGTTGCCTTGACACCATTTGCCTGTGACCAACTTGGAATTCGCAGATTTAAAGTAGATGATTGGCTTGCAACTTTCTGCATTCAAAAATTAAGCATGGGAAAAGAATTTGTAAAATTTTGTTGAACCATGAAACTAGCAAGCACTTGAACAAAGATAATTAAAAGTAACACAATAGGTCTTGGACACAATGCTCTGTTTGGTTGCAGAAGACATTGAGAGAAACTTGAACCTTGTGATCACTTGGTTGTGAGAGAATTTAAAATTCGAATATCTACCCACCAAAAGATATTTTATTTACCAACCGAAAAATTTCCAAATCTACTTTATATCTCTATTGACATCCAAGTAGATCACTAAAAAATGTTTAATTATTAATATTTTTTTCCTTTTCCTGCCTTTAAGATAACCCCATCAAGAATTGGAGTTATAACTACATTGTGCTAATTAGTACACATATTAGTCATTTTTTGAAAGTTAAGCTACCTCAAACATGGAATTCCCATTTCTTTCTCCAAAAATAATTCATATACTTACGATGTTGTGAGCTTCTCCTATCCTACCGTTATTCTTGGTTTTAGCCACAAGAGATCATAATATTTAGATTTCATACTTTGGAAAATTACACAAGTAGCATCAACAAAGTAAAACTTATGTGCTATAAACACAAAGATACTCCAAGTTTGCTAGAGGTAATTTTTTCTATTTTCAGGTGGAATGCTAGTTCGAACGATATACTTCCACCAAAATTTATTAAAAGATGGATGGTTTATAAGGAGTAAAGGAGGCAGTTCCTTGTTCTGATGTTGAGCAATATTTTAGTTTCTTGCTTGAGTGTATAATAAAATAACTAAGAACACTGTTATGAAAATAATCTAGCATATATAGTTAACAACAATATTAGCTTCCATATTTGCTAACATGTACCTCGTTTGAGGAAATTGTGAATGTCACTTGAAGATGAGAATCCCATGAAGCAACAGGTTTGACTGTCTGAGATATAAAAATCTTCCCAGATTTCCAGTTAAGTGAGCTAGATATGTACTGGATGATGTAAAGCACTGGAGCTTTCCCCTCTTCTTCAAAGTATATCGAATCTGCCAACTTTGAGAACGACTCGATTCCTTGGCGAGCAACAACAGAAAGAAAAAAAAAAAAGGTCAGTATCAGCTGGGTGGAGCACTGAGAAGAAACAAAAACATTGACACAGATAAAATATGTTGAATCGCATATTAACTAAATTGTGACAGTCAAAACCACAAGTGAACAATCAAATTCTCCCAGTCATAAGGGAATGAGAATGCAAATCATAAGCTCTAAGAATGTAAGGCTGTATGATGCAATTAAAAAGATTGTTTGGGAATTTTTAAGTTGCTTGCATAGAAGCAAAAAGATTTATCTTGGAATAAATAATCGTTTATATATATAAGGTTTCAAGTCCATACCAGTCCCCTGACAGCAAAATAAATCATCGAACTTTCTTCCCCATCCACGGCTGCTTTTGACCTTAGAACATCCAGGGCATAGTGGCATCAAGTAGAGCATCACTCCATGATCCCTTCCCCTTTGTATGCCCAGCACACCATTGGTCAGCGCTCGCTCGTAATAATCTGCATATGACATTTCTTTCGTCCATCTAAACAGGTGTCGTGCAATCTACAAAATTATATGCCATTTGATGCTGATAAAAAAAATAGCACTGTAATTTTCAACTAAAATAATTGAAATTATTAAGTGAAAAATATGTCGTGTTTTGACAGAAAACCTCACTCTCACTCTTTAGCATGTTATGAGTTTCACAAAACAGAGAAAAACAAAGGACAACAACAACAACATAGAGTTTATTAACCAGCAGACCTTTAGCATGTTATGAGTTGCACATGATTCTTCAGTTTGAGTTGTCAGAGTGGTTGCCAATTGCTTTGAGTTCATCCTGCTCATGTGTTGAGGAAATGAGAACAAACCAGAATTGCATAGGAAATTCAGCAATCACTATTTGTGATTATTAAACACCATTTAAAGTTCCAAGTATTTATACCAGAACTCGTCAACTGATGTCCCTCCAGTTGCATAGGTGTGAGAAGAGCTAAGAATATCCATGAAGAATGTTGCCATCTCCTGTCATAATAAAATCATAAAAAAATGTTCTTAATAAAATGAAATATATTTATATATCATGCATAAATACATAAATGTTGTACAGTATTGTATGAGCTGTCACACGTATACAATTAGATTACATTGTATATTAGGGTTTACTAGTATTTTTTGTATTCTGTAACCGCCTTCACCTACCCCTCATTACCATATATAGCATTACCATGTATAGGGTTTACTTGTTCTCCACTCACCTACTCCTGTGTCTTCTCCTATATAAACACCATTGTATTATTGTATTACTCACTTAATAAGATATACATTTATATTTTTTCTCTCTTTCAACATGGTATGAGAGCGGAAATCAATCCCTCCTTTTTCATTTTTTTTTACAGTTTTATTCAGACTCCAATCTCGATTCCATCTCGGCTTTCTCTCAGCAATCTCTTCTTGGCGATCTCTCCTCGGTGATCTCGGTTCTCATCTCGGCAATCTCTCTCGGATCCCTCCTCGGCTCTCTCCTAGACAATTTCTCTCGGGTTCATCTCGGCTTGATCTTGGTTCTCTCATCTCGGCTCCCTCTCGCTACCATATCTCATTTGTTCGGCAGCCCTCACTATGGATACCAAGGACTCTCATCTTCTTGGGTCAATCACCAGCACCAAACTGAAAGGCTCGAATTACCTTTAATAGTCTCGAGCTGGACAGGTGTTCCTATGGGCCCGAGTAAAAATGTCCTATATTCAATCATCCAAACCCACCACTAATGAAAAGATTATTGAGGCTTGGGAGAAAGAAGATGCTCAGATTATGACTTGGTTATGGAATAGCTTGGAGCCTGAGATCTTCAATGAAATATACTTATATGTTACGCATAAATACTATGATATAAATCTATTCTGATTGATTATAATTGGAGCAGATCACTGTAAAGCCAAAGCTGATCCGTTGGTTAACAAATAGACTGATTTTGGTTCATCACCATGATAAGGAGCATACACTTTTTACCAAATTTGACTTATAGGAGATTGGATTCATCACAAAACTCGATCCATTGAAAACCGAATAAGGACTGAATTCATAGCAAACCAATGCGGCTCTCCCTCTTGACTTATTTAGAGGCCATTTTACCTCCATGATTATTAGGACCATTACTTCATTGAGGGATGAGTAGATGTCCTCCAGTTATTTATCTTCAATAATTTTTCCCTTAGTTGTAAAAGGAGTTCTAATCGTTCTTCCATGTACTTCTCTGAACTCCAAAAGAATTCTTGTCCCAAAAAAAAAAAAAAGGATGAAGAAGAAAAAGAGGAAGGAAAAAAGAAAAAGAAAAAGAAAAAAGAAATAGTCGCTGCCTATGTAGTTGCTTGCCCTCAAGAGATTAAACAAAGTACTAAACCAGAAGTTCCAATTCTCAATATATATATACACACACATATATAAAATAAAAAAATTTAAAAACTGAACACTAAAAACTGAAATCAAGAAAAAGTGCTGCATTGAGTTAAAATGCTCTGAGGATTCATATTAAAATGAATTATAGCCATTTACCCGGTAGAGTGGATCACCAGAAACTTGATACCGCATTTGAACTCCAAGAACATGTGCAAGATGTGTATTAGCATGAAGATTATCCAAATCATCAGCCTACAAATAAAAGACAGAAATTTAGCAATGTTATTTGAGAATAATATGGATGATGTGGTTTATTTAAATCATAAAAAAAAAAAAAAAAAAAAGAAAAAGAAAAAGAAAAAGAAAAAGAAAAAGAAAAAGAAAAAAAGAGAAGAGAAATCTTGAATATATATGATAAGTTTTGCGATTTATAGATTATGAATGACATTGGAAGCTTAGATACAGGTTGACATTGAAAGCACTGATTACAATTGGTATAAGAGCTTCTTGCATCAAGGATAGAAGTAAAAGATCAATGAAATGATTAGATTTGTTTAGCAAGATATGAACCGGTTCATGTCGAAGAATAGATTTCCAATGATGAATCGTTAAATTGAATAATACCAACTCTATTTCATTATTTCACTACTAATTAAAACCAAAAACCTAGAAGCCCAACAAGGAATGCATGGATCAGCTTTCCTAGACAACATAACTAAATAGACTCAAAAAAATTCAAAAACTAAACAATTCTTCAATCCTCCACATTAAGGCTTTCTTAATTTATCAAGACCCTCTTTGGTTATAAGTTCAAACATTTCCTGTTTCTTTTTTTACTCTTTTATGCCACTCTCTTAATCCTAGGGCTCGTAAGAGGGAGTACGTCTAGCGGTGTAGTCCAATTTCAACAATATATATACATATATATATATATGTGTGTTAGAATGTTTATGTATATATATATTTATGTTGGGTCATTATGTAATTACCCATAGTTGTTAGGATCATTGTGTAATTAGGTAACCTTATTTAATTAGGGTTGTTTGTTTTCCTTTATATAAGCCACTGTAGGCTTAAAGGTGTAGTGTGAAATATATACAAGAGATATACAGGAAACATATTCTCTCTCTCTTTCTCTCTCTCATGAATCTGAACATGGTATCAGAGCAATATGGATTCATGGGTGTGGGAAACGACAATGGTGTTGCCCTTGTATGAGATTGGAATTGCGATCGGAATCGCGAGTGTGTTGTCGCGTTGGGTGTCTTTGCCGGAAGTTCTTGTAGCCGGCAGGTTGAGAACATCACTCGTAGTCGTCGTCGTCAGATCTGCAGCCTCCTTCATCGCCGTTAGATCTGAAGCCCTTTGGTCGCTCGTGTTGTTGCTGCGTTGGTCGTCAGCAAGCTCGCCGACATCCACCGTCGTTATTTGCAGAGGTGAGGCTTCATCGATTCGTCTTTTCTCTTGGTCAGAAGTTGCAAAGGTGTTTGTTGCTGATTTTCGCCGTCGCCGCTGCATGCTTGTAGTCGTCTGTCAGTGGGTGAAGAAGAACAGCCATGTTTGGCTACGCGGTTATGCTATTCCAACCCTGGTTTACTAAAACCGGGAAAGCAGAGACCTGGTTTTGATCTAGCCCTGTTCGCCCAGGTCCGACCTGATTACCCAGGTCCGACCCAATTACCCAAATCCGGCCCGGCTGCCCAGATCCGGCCCGACTGCCGATTCTGTAATTTTTTCCCACGTTCGTTTTTTTTGTTAACTCCTCCATGGCTGCCAGTTCAGACCTGTTATCTTCTATCTCCTTCAATCCTACCATGACTTCAATCAAGCTTAATGGCAAAAATTACATTTTATAGGCCAAGTCAGTAGCCATTTTCCTGAAAGCCAAAGGCTTTGGCACTCATTTGGTACCAAAGGGATGCTCAGATTATCTCCTTAATGCTGAATTGTATTGAACCTCATATTAGCTCTAACTTGTTATATCTAGACACTGCCAAGGAGATATGGACCCGACTCCAACAGTTATATTCAGGTACTGGTAATATAACCAGAATTTATGAGGTGTGTAGACAATTTTTTGACCTTCAGCAAGGGACTCATAGTTTAAAAGAATACCTCTCACGGGCAATGGGACTTTGTGAAGAAATGAACTTGTATCAACCCATCACCTCTGATGTGAGAAGCATGCAACAACAACGTGAGGATTTTAATGTTGTTCAGGTTCTCACAGGATTGTCACAAGAGTATGAACCTGTTCGTGCACAAATTTTGGGTAGCCCTGCACTTCCCTCTCTTTCTGATATGTTATCCAGACTCCAGCGTGCTACTTTATCTAGTGGCATTTCCGGGGGTGCTTCAAGTGGTGTCACTGCTCCTCCTAGTAGTGAACGTTCTGCCTTAGTTGTGAACCAAGGTGGTTTTCAGTCTTCTCATGGCGATGGTGGTCGTTTTACTCGTGGTCGTGGTCGTGGCAGAGGCAGAGAATCAAAACTTTGCACTCACTGCGGTCTTACTAATCACAATGTCAATTACTGTTGGGATCTTCGTGGGAAACCACCACCTTCTTCCTATGCACATCAAGTGACTTCTAATGATGGGGATTCTTCTTTCTCTGCCACACCCACTGCTCCACATATGGCTGTTGAGACTGCTATGGTCACGATTCCCCGCGATAAGTATGCTCAGTTTCTATCTCAACAACGGCCTTCTACCTCATCTTCCATGGGTTCAGTTGCCCAATAAGGTAGTGCTCCTGTATGTCTTTTGTCCTCTAGTCAAAGTCCATGGATTCTTAACTCTAGCGCATCCAATCACATGACTGGTAGTTCTCATCTCTTATCTGATTTTCAATCTGTTTCTTCCTCTCAAAGTGTTACTCTTGCTAATGGATCATCAACTAAAGTTTTGGGTTTGGGAACTATTCATCTTACCTCCTCAATGTCCCTCTCCTCTGTGTTATATGTTCCTCAATTCCCTTTTAATATGTTGTCCATTAGTAAGCTTACTAAATCTCTTAACTATTCCGTTACATTTTATCCCACATGTTGTCTTTTTTAAGATCTCAAGACGAAGAAGAGGATTGATATGGGACATGAAGTAGGTGGCTTGTATTACTTCAATCTTGCACCATCTCCCACAGCTCTTCAATCATCTTTGTCTTCTTTCCAGTGGCACAGTCGTCTCGGCCACCCATCATTATCAGTTTTACAGCATCAAGTCCCCGATCTTAGTCGTATTGAGTCCATGTCTTGTGAAACATGTCAGCTTAGTAAGCATTGTCGTGTATCTTTCAAA